CCCCAAAACCCCAAAACCCCATTATGATTGAATTTGGAAATTCTAAGAATTCTTTAAGTAAATTCATAACTCTTACATATTATAATTAGTTTTATACGTTGGAAGAAGCGGTAGGCTTGATGAAACAACAAGCATCTTTTGTAGTTGATTACTTTCATATTTAATATCTTCATAGTTAGTTGGTCTATGCTTTATTAGAAGTTTAAAATTTTTCCTTTTAAGTTATTTCTTAAATGAAGAGTTTTACTTGGGGGATAAGTGATTTCCATTTTTCTTCCAATGCTTATCGTCCAACCTCAAAAACGATTGTTCCTCCTCAAGTTGTTCATCTTCATTAGTATGAAGTTCCTACTAAGAGGAATATCTCTCACATATTTTGATATTGATTATACTATTTTACTATAGATTGTATTTCTCTCTGTTTTTCGACAGTTACTCCTGGAATTCCTCATACTTTTAATCTATTTTAGAGACTTTAAAGATTTTCTAGAGGTTTTATTGCTGCTGCACTTTGATTTATCTGCCGCTCTTGTCCACTTATCTTTTAGGGATTGGTATTTTATTCAAAGATTTCTTAAAAAATCCAATTTCAGTATCTGTAGTTGGAACAAATGATTGACCCTTAATTCTATATAAATCTAAAACATGCAACGACTCTGAGTCAATCAAGCCTTTATTTCTCAGTAATTGTGCTTTAGCTTTTGGAAGATCTTCATTTATCAGTTCGTTTTAGAAAATTTGATCATCTAGAATCTAAGATTAAACATTGGAGTTTGGCTAAATTTATAAATCCGAATCATAATTAAAAGTCTCATCATTCGAATATAAATTTCGAATTCGACCTTATTCCTCAAGGTCTTTCTCATATTACTAGTACCTTTAAGTCAAGGTTCCATATATATTCTGATTAATTATTGGTGGCAGTTCTATGCCAATAGAATCTTTTTTAGATTCAAAGAATTGCTTATCTCTAAAGGTCATAGACCCATAATTAATAGCGGCAGTTGTAAATTTATGATCGACTATTATACTTCTATCTATGGATTCCTGAAGATTTTAAACTGCTGAGGCTCCGAAAATTTTGTCTTCACTTCTCTTCTATAGCTCTTTCAGATTTTAAATGCTCTTTGATATAGTCATTCGTCTCTTATTGTACAGCTTACGCTTTGTTCTCTACAGCTCACTTGATTGTTCGAGCATATCTTGTGATTTGAATTCTTACTTATGTAAAATTAATCTCTCCTTCAAACTTGAAGGTACAGCATTAGTCTTAATAGGATTTTCTATGTATTTAGACTGCAAAAGGTGTAATATATCATCAACAGAGCAGCCCTTAGCATTTATATCCTTCTTATGCGTTGGACTATTGGTTTTAGGAAAATCAGTGCTTTGATAAGCATGGGGATTATTCTTTTTTCCAGGGAATTACTTAAATTTATTCTCATTCAAATCACTTTTATCATTACAGGCTACTGCAATTAAATCTCTATTTATTTTTATTGGCGAGTTTTTCTAGGACAACCTCTAATACCCTTGATCTAGTCTCTTTGATACGATATTTTCAAGATAACTAGATTGCTGTTTTTTAGCTTCAATGTCTTTCTTTGTATTTGGACTCAAAAGTTTTGCACGAATTATCTCCGGTTTAATTGCTTGCATTTGTTTGATGTCGCTCATTTAATAATAGATTTTAATTTATCAGGGAAAAAAAAATGTATGATAATAACTTATTCTTAAATTTCCAATCTTTGACAGTATTTGCATTTCGGGGTTTTGGGGTTTTGGGG